CTCCCCCCTCAGGGTCCTGCCCTTTCAGGTGAATCCCAGGTAGACGCAGTCAAGCCGGTCGAGGTTGCTGGTGACTCTGGTACTGCTGCGGGTGCTGAGCCTGGGGGTGCTGACTCTGGGGGTGCTGCTCAAGTGGGTGTTGAGCCTGGAGGTGCTGAGCTTGGGGGTGCTGCGACTAGGGGTGCTGAGCCTGGGGGTGCTACGACTGGGGGTGCTGAGCCTTGGGGTGCTGCGTCTGGAGCTGCTGAGCCTGGGGGTGCTGTGTCTGGAGCTGCTGAGCCTGGGGGTGCTGCGTCTGGAGCAACTGAGCCTCAGGGTGCTGTGTCTGGAGCTGCTGTGCCTGGGGTTGCGGAGCCAGCGGCCGCTGGACCTGCTCGTGTGGCGTCTGGCGGTGCTGGGCCTGGTGGTTCTCCTGGCTCTTCTCGACGAGAGCCGCTCTCTCCACAGGAGTTGCGCGAGTGGTTTGCCCGGCGGTGGCGGCGTACTGCTGGAGCTGGAGCTTCTTCGGCTGCTGAGGCTGATGGTGCCGCTGGTCCCAGAGGTGCTCGTCCGCTTGGAGCTGGGGCTGCTGAGGGTGTTGGCGCTGAAGCTACTGCTGTCAGTCGTGGTGACGGTCCTGCTGCCAGTGCTGCTGGTGAAGTTGGAGGTGCTGAGGGTGCTGGTGCTGTCCGTGCTGTGTCTGCAGTCGCCGCGCGGCCTCGGCCGTACTTCGTTCCGCTCCTTCAGCAGGTTCTTGGTCCTCCTCCTCCTGTAGAGTGTCCACCACCTGTCCAGTCACAGTCACAATTAGCGCTGGCCTCCCCACTGCCTGCTCCTTCTCCCTACACTGGTCCTATTGGAGGTCTTGCTGAGCGTCGTGAGCCTGCGTCTCATCCTCCGTCGCCTGTTCGTGCTGCTCGCGCTAGTGGTCGCGATTCGCGTCAGCGTCCTCCTCCTGTCCCTGGCACGCACCGGATGTCTCTGCGTCCGTCCACTGCTCCTCTGCGTGTCCCTTTGCCTTCTCCTCCCGAGTCCTCTCTTCCTGCGCTTGCCAACGCGGAGTCGGACTCTCTTCATGCTGCTAGTCCTACTGTCACGTGTCTCCTTGATACTGTCGTCACTGACCCCTCTTTTGAGTCCACTGCTGCGTCTGCTCTTGTTGCTGAGCTCGTCGACTTGGTCTTTGCCACTGCTGACACTGCTGGACTCACCCACGTGAAGTCCGAGCTGCAGAAGAGACACACGTGCACAGACTTGGGTGAACTGCGCAGCTACTTTGGCTTGCAGATCACCCGGGACAGAGAACGTCGCACCATTACCCTGACTCAGTCACACATGGTGCAGCAGGTCCTTCAGCGCTTCGGCTTCACGTACTCCTCGCCTCAGGCCACTCCTGTGTTTACTCTCCACTCGCTCTCAGCTCTGCCTTCAGATGATTCCGTAGAGTTGAGTGGCTTGTACCCAGAGCTTGTTGGCTGCCTCATGTACCTGATGACCTGCACACGACCTGACCTTGCATACCCTCTTAGCATTCTTGCACGCTATGTTGCTCCTGGGAGACACCGACCAGAGCACATGGCTGCAGCGAAGAGGGTGTTGCGCTACTTGTGCAGTACGTCGGGCATGGGGCTAGTGCTTGGAGGGCGGAGTCCAGTGGTCCTCACTGGGCACGCGGACGCTTCTTGGGCTGACGACCAGGCTACGCAGCAGTCGTCACAGAGTTGCACCTTCAGCCTTGGTTCCGGCTCTGTTTCGTGACGGGCTACTCGCTCGTCTTCTGTTTTCAGCTCGAGTTGTGAGGCTGAGATCTACACCGGGGCCATGGCTGCACAGGAGCTTCGCTGGCTCACCTACCTGCTGACCGACCTTGGAGAGCCGCCTCGTTCTCCTCCAGTCCTGTACGTAGACAACAAGGCCATATTGGCCTTGTGTCGAGAGCAGAGATTGGAGCACAGAAGAAAGCACATTGCTGTTCGCTACTTCCTTGCTCGTGAGCTACAACAGCGTGGTCAGTTGCGGCTTGCGTACGTGGCCTCTGAGGCCAACACTGCTGATGTTTTCACCAAGGCACTTCCGCCTTGTGATCATCAGCGCTTCTGCACTGAGCTTGGTTTTGTCCCTGTCTTGCCTCACTTGCTCACCCCTTGACCTTTCTTGTACTTTTTACATATACATATATATATACATGCTCTTGTTTGTTTAGCCTTATATATATATGTGTACTCTTGCATGTGAACTGGCCTTTTGGCCTTGACCTTGTGCTCGGACTGTGTGGTGAATTTGTGATCCACCCTGAGCTTGCTTTGCTTTGCTTTGCTTGACTGGTCTTGTGACCCCTTGTCCTCCCCCACTTTGCCTATGGGGGTGTGTGAGATTCATATGACATAGCGGTTGTAGGCTTTAGTGGGGTAGCACATATGGGGTACAGCTTTCTAGGGTTTCTATTTGCACCCAACTTTCACTTAGTCATCATCATTTTCTCGTTCTATCTTTCTCAGCAAGGACAAGACCCCCAGAGGGGTCCGCAAGGGAGACTGCAACCGTCCGACTGAGCGGCGTAAGAGTGGTGCAGTCTCGAAAGAAGGAGCGGGACGCACCCGAGTCAAGGGTGAAGGTGTGTAAGGCCTGAGCCGACGTAGTACCTGAGAGAGCAGACTCACCAGCACATGGGGCAGCAGACGCACTAGCACCTAGAGCAGCAGCCTCACTAGCACCTAGAGCAGCAGCCTCAATGCGCGGGTCAGGCGGAACACACAGGTAACAGTCACCCTCATCACTAGTAGGCAATGCATACATTGTAGTGAGGATAGCATCATAGTCAAGAGCATAGATATAGACCCGCAGCCGAAGCAGCTCCACCGAGTGAGGGAGCTCAGCCGCGTCGCCAAACTCCGTACGCCAGGCGCCGCTTAGACGCGCAAAGCAGTGGGACGGTGCGTGACCGAACGTCCCGCAAGGCTGACGAATCCGAGCACCAGTGCGAAGGACCTACGGATAGCAAGCAGTACCCCCTGACCCGTCACGCTGCACGTACCACTCACGAAGCTACTGGGGCGAGAGGACCACTCGTGGACAACGCTGAGGCTGCACCTGGCCACTACAAGTAGCTGTTGAACCACTCAGTCCAGGATGACTCCCACTACGGCCACCCCGACAACCCCAACTAGCGTACCACTCACGAAGCTGTTGGGGGGTGAGAGACTCACGCGGGCAACGCTGGAGCTGCATCTGGCCACGCCTGGAGCACCAGTAGCAGTAGAAAGAGCAATAGCAGTAAGAGCAGAATTAACAGCAGTATGGGCAGGGCAGTGCTCACCAGTGGCGAGAAGGGCAGGCGTATGACGGCGGCAACGGCGATGCCGCTACCATTGTAGAGCGAGAGCTCCGCGGCAGCTGCAGTGGCGGCTGCCTCGGGGGTGGCAGCTGCAGTGGCGGCTGCTCCAGGGGCGGATGCTGTAGTGGCGGCTGCTCCAGGGGCGGCTGCTGCAGTGGCGGCTGCTCCAGCGGTGGCTGCTGCAGTGGCGGCTGCTCCAGCGGCGGCTGCTGCAGTGGTGGCTGCTACAGGGGCGGCTGCTGCAGTGGCGGCTGCTCCAAGGGCGGCTGCTGCAGTGGGGCTGCTCCAGGGGCGGCTGCTGCAGTGGCGGCTATTCCAGGGGCGGCTGCTGCAGTGGCGGCTGCTCGAGGGGCGGCTGCTGCAGTGCCGGCTGCTCTAGGGGCGGCTGCTGCAGAGGCGGCTGCTCCAGGGGCGGCTGCTGCAGTGGCGGCTGCTCCAGAGGCGGCTGCTTCTGGTGGGCGGCTCGGCTGCCCACTAGGGGCGGCGATGGGGCCGGGTAGGGGCGACGACGGGGCCGCTAGGGGCGGCGATGGGGCCGCCTAGGGAGGGGAGCGGCAACGTGGCGGCTAGGGGCGGCGATGTGGCCGCGTTGGGGTGGCGACGGGGCCGCGTAGGGAGGGTAGCCGCGACGGGGCCGCTAGGAGCGGCGACGGGGCCGCATAGGGGCGGCGATGAGGCCGCGTAGGGGTGGCAACGGGGCCGCGTAGGAATGTCAGCGGCGACGGGGCCGCTAGGGGCGGCGACAGGGCCGCTAGGGGCGGCGATAGGGCCGCGTAGGGGCGGCGACAAGGCCACGTAGGGGTGGCGACGGGGCCGCGTAGGGAGGGGAGCGGCTACGGGGCCGCTAGGGGCGGCGACGGGGCCGCGTAGGGGCGGCAACCGGGCCGCGTAGGGAGATTAGCGGCGACGGGGCCGCTAGGGGCGGTGATGGGGCCGCTAGGGCCGGCGACGGGGCCGCGTAGGGAGGGGAGCGGCTACGGGGCCGCTAGGAGCGGCGACGGGGCCGCGTAGGGGCGGCTACGGGGCCGCTAAGGGCGGCTACAGGGCCGCGTAGGGAGGGGAGCGGCTACGGGGCCGCTAGGGTCGGCGACATTTCCTTGGCACGTTGGGAGTGCACGCTAACGACCGCGATGGCGTCGCTAAAGGCACTCTACTTCGTTCCGTACAACGAGTTCCTCCTGATCGCGTAGTGTGTGGTGCTTCCCTCCGCACAGCCTCATTGCCAGCTATGCGATCTGCTAGAAATGGTTGAACCATCATGCATTACAACATAACCCGGCCATCTCGGCATGCATGTATCTTCTCACATGGCATCGCATGACGTCATATGGCATTGCACAGGGATACATTGGGATCGCATGGCATTGCACGACATTGCACGGCAGGCTGTACGTATTGATCATGACGGTGCAAGCGCTGGCGACAGGCGGTCCCTCCACTGTGTACGCCACGGCGGAGCTTCCGCTTCAGATCGCCCAGACCGCTGCACTGATGGAGGTGAGTCAGAGGCTTATGATGAGGATTGTGTTCTAGATGCAATGTGGTAGGTGCATTGCGACAAATGCCGGTGTACGGTGTCTCTCCTTGTCATTGCGGCGAACCCATGCTAACCACGTTACGACCTCCACGTCGTTAGTCGCGGCTACTTGGATCATGCGTTTACAAAATCTGATAATCACTGAATGCAATGGGGACCGCATTCAGCAGGTTGCTCACCGCATTCAAAACCTTAACTCGTTCACAACCCTCTAATATGACAGCTTCTGTGCCCCTCTCCGCTCTTCCACCCCCTGTGCCCCTCTCCGCTCTGCCACCCCCTCCGCCCCCTCCGCTCTACCACCCCCTGCGCCCCTCTCCGCTCTGCCACCTCCTACGCCCCTCTCCGCTCTGCCACCCCTTGCGCCCCTCTCCGCTCTGCCACCCCCTGTGCCCCTCTTCGCTCTGCCACCCTCCGTGCCCCTCTCCCTACTCCCATGGCACCATCGGAAAACGCACCTCCGTGCCAGCATGGCACGTGCAGATCATCCACAGCATTCTCGGTAAGTTTCCTGATCCCCCTTTCTCTCTTTCCGTACAGCTCTCTGATCACACGCACGCCTTCTCAACTCTCGTCGGCACCGCGTGTTTTGTCCCTGCCATGTGTGCCTCTCATCGTCCCTACCCCCCCACCTCCAATATCGCTGCCTCACGTCCTTCTTCTGCACCTCCCGCCTCTTGCGTTGCGCCTCCCACGCGCTGCCCCTTCCCTTCCTCCCCCCTTCCCCCCCCCCCCCCATCCCTCCTCACGTGCAGGGCACTGTGGGCGGCAGGCATCGTGCCGTCGCCCGTGTCTGCCACACTCCCGCAAATCACGTCGCGCCTCTTCCTTGTGTGGGGCGTGCTCTACCTCGCGCTGCAGGTGCTCTTTCCCCTCCCTTATATGTTTTGTGCCACTCTTTAGGTGCTCCTTCATGCACTTTCAGGTGCTTCAACATGTGCCTCAAATGTTTACTGTGCATCAGGTGCTCAGTCACTTGGCTCAGGTGCTTCGTCGTGCTCCTCGAGCCGAGGCGGCTTGTCACAGGTGGCCGCTCTCACAGAAGGATCCAACTCTCACAGAAGGATCCAACTCTCACAGAAGGATCCAACTCTCACAGAAGGATACGACTCTCACAGAAGGATCCAACTCTCACAGAAGGATCCAACTCTCACAAAAGGATCCAACTCTCACAGAAGGATCCAACTCTCCGACGCCCCTTGCACGATAGAGGGAGGCGAGTATGGGATGAAAGAGTCGTGGGGTCCTGCATTGCTAGAAGCGTGCGAGTCTGCGTCTCCTCTTACTTCCACGATACAATTCCATGATGAAATCATTTCCTGCGTTCTGTGGACGATGCCCTTCTCGTAACACGGCATGGCTTCAATCGAGTCTGGTGCTCCTTGTCTGCTATCCGCCTCCCCTCTTCCCTCTTTCCCCTTCCCCCTTCCCCCTTCCCCCTTCTTCCTTCCCCCTTCCCCCTTTCCACTTCTCCCCCCTTCCCCCTGCCTCCCCATCCCCGTGTGCCTCCCATCCCCGAGTGGTCCCCATTGCCACCCCCGCATGCCACGTGTGCACCCCATCACCATCACTGCATGCCACGTGTGCACACCATCACCATCACTGCATGCCACGTGTGTAGGTGCGGGAGCACGTGCTGGTGGCGTCGCTGCTGCTCAGCTGGTCCATCACTGACGTTCGAGGGGGGTTGGGCGGGGTCTGTGGGGGGTGTGTGTGGTGGGTGCGCGGGTTCTGTGTATTAGTGTGTCGTGGGTGCACGGGTTCTGTGTGTTACTGTGTGGTGGGTACGCGGGGATTGCGTGGGGATGTTGGAGTCACATGGTTCTGCAGGGAGGGCCAGATGACGAAGGGGGAGTGGGAGCGGCCATGGCAAAAAAGAGGAGAGAGAGGGAGGGAGATTGAGGAAGAGGGGGGATTGAGGAGAGGGGGTTGAGGAAGAGACAGGGGGCTTTGGGTAGGGGGACGAGGTAGAGAGGGGTTTTCGAGGGCATACACGAGAGCTCGCTTTGTCTGTGAAATGGACAAGCAGAAAGGCTACTCTGTACGAACCCTCCATTTTTCGCACCCCACCATTTCCCAGTACCCCCTTAATCTCCGCTGCTAGGCCCCAAATTCCCCCAGTCTGTCCTCGCCCCATCCGCCTGTCCTCGCCTCATCCCCATCTGCTCCCGTCCTCTCCTCCCTCCCCCCCTTCAACCCCACGCCTGTGCGTGCCATGCGCGCCTGTCAGATTGTGCGCTACTCCTTCTTTGCTGTGAAGGAGGCCTTTGGCTTCACGCCCGCGCCTCTACTCTGGCTCAGGTACCACACACTCCCTTGCCCTCGCACTCCCTGCCCCTTGCACTCCCTTCCCCTTGCACTCCTTGCCGCTCACAACCCATGTCCTATTCGCGTTCCCCGGCCACCCCTGGACCATCTCTGCGTTTTCGCCTCCTCACACTTCCAGCTCCTCGCCACTCCCCACGCCATTCCTCCCTTCTCCTCCTGGCCTACTTGCTTCTCTCCCTCGCCTCCCTTGTGCGCCACCCTTCACCCACCAACCCACACTCCACCAATGCTGCTGTGCACCCCCCCTCTCTCCGCCATCTCCTTTCTTCCCTCCACCATATCTCTCATCCCCCATCGCCCTGCCCGCACCAGGCACAACATGTTCTATGTGCTCTACCCCTCGGGCACGAACCCTCCCTCTCATCCATACTGTTGTGCACCCCTTCACCCCTCCCCCTCTCCCCCCCCCCCTCCGCCATATCTCTCATCCTCCCGCGCCCTGCACTGCGCGCACCAGGTACAGCATGTTCTACGTGTTCTACCCGTCGGGCATCACCAGTGAAGTGGGACTCGCCTTCCTCCCCCTGCCCTACCTCAAGGTTCGTCTCGCTCTCTAGCTCGCCCTGCTGTATGTGTCTCCTAATCACTGTCCATGCACTGTCCTCTACGGAAACTCCACACACTCTCCCTGTGTTAATATTATCATCTCCACTCACATTTATGGGATGTCAGGGGCATGGCATGTTGGGACAATCTGCCTGCGCAACTGTTTTGCCTCATCAGCAGCTCTTTCCTAAGGTTGTTTTCAAACTGTATTTCATCCCTACCATGCAGTTTGAATAAACCAAGTATCCGCTCATTCTGTATGGCTCACTTCATTCCTTTTGACATGCTGTTTCACTCATTACAGTGTTCAGCTCTTCCTTACCCCCTTTCACTCTGGCAAGCATCACACGTGTTCTCGTTTGACATGCCCAACAAGGTCAACTTCGCAGTTGACTATTACCTCGTCTCCATCCTCATCCTCCTCACCTACATCCCGGGTACGTTGTACTCCTCACACCTTTGCTTCCTTATTGCTGAAACGAATCCACCAGTGTTTGTGTCCAATTCATAGTTCTTCCCTTTTGTGTCCTGGTTGGGGGGCCGGAGCTGGATTTGATTACTTGTAGCTAACATACAGTGTATCTGGCATGGCAGAGAGCCCATACATGTCACATATATGATGGGGCAGAGGGAAAAGGCCCTGGGAAAGAATGACAAGTCAGCTTAACATTATTATTTCACTACCATGCGAGTAGCCAGACAAACGCTTGCTGAGATTTACTCTCGCTTGTCAATGTGCATGCTTAGGAAGAGTTTTTTTTCCTGTTTGTGACATGTAGCCAAACTCTAGTTCTTGTTAGTGGTTTTACCAAGCAAAAAGTACTATCTTGATATGAGGTTCTCTTGATATGATGATAGGAATACGCTCTTAGTGGTTTACTTTGTTGGGAACAAATAAGTTAAGCGCCTCTGTCGTGTCAGAACTCAAGACACAAAGCGAAGCAGTTCAAGTCGAAGCATCGCGAGTCAACCAAGGTGGTTAACGTAACCGTCGGAGGTTACGGGAAAGTCAAAGGTCAGCGACCTTTGACCTGATGCAGCGCGACAGCAAGGACAAACAACTGACTCGACATTGAGCAGTTGCCCGAGTCGCATTGTATCGAATCGCAACAGTAAAATGAGTTATAATGTCTCTTCATATTCTCTGTTCTCATCTATTTATATCATTGTATCCTTTTGCTTTAAACAACTTACTTTGCCCTCACATACCAGCGCAAGGTGGTTCAAAGACTTCAATTCAACGCTTCCGCTATTACAACATCTACCCAGACTTTAACTCTACAAAGATCCTAGGGCGTTTCAGCCCAACATGGTATGAGAGCAGCTAGAGTTAAATTTTATTATTCAACACTCAGTACATCAAGAAGTCATGTCTGCCAGAAAGGAGAGAAGCTCCTCCAACGGCTCTCCCGGTACTACCCCTACTCCACCACCTGCCTCTGGCCTACTGACAGAGGAGGGGACAACGACGAGACCAGCAGATGGGTCTACGGAAACACCCGCAAACCAAGGTGCGGGCTTCGATCCAAGCATGATGGAGAAATTCTTCTCCTTCATGTCCTTCTACGAGCAGCACCAGCAAGGAGCACCTGCGCAATCAAACAACAGCAACAACAACAACAACGTGACACCTATGAGTCTCGATGGCTCATCCTACGCACGCGGGAATCAACATCAACAACCTACCTTTGCTCCGTACGAGCCCCAGCGTGGCTCCGTCAGCTTTATGCCGCAACCACAACCTGCACCGGGACAAGAGAGAGCACTGGACGCATTACAAGTTCAGTCGCAATTCGCGCATGTTCTAAAGCTGCAAACGACAAAGCCCTTTGACGGAAAAGACTTTTTCACCTGGTCTTTCGAATTCGAGCTGATGATGGAAGGAGCGCAGATCCTTGGCTTCTTCAACGGGTCCCTGCCATATCCAACAAACGGTACACAGTATGAGAAGCAGCAGTATACTTATCAATCGATGATGGCGTACACAATACTACTGAGGAATATCACTCCGACCCAACAGCAGAACATCGGGCCTTACCGAGGCTACGGCAACTCCGCGGAGCTCGCGTACAACCACTTGAAGAACCTGTATCAAGCAACAGACAGTGTAAACCAAAGCCGGTTAATGGCGCAGCTGACAACAATCGAAATGAAGCCAGGCGAGAAAGGCATGGAGTATATCATTCGCTGCCGCGAGCTGCGCGACATGCTCCTTCGATGTGGAGGGTCAATTTTAGAAGACGCCTTCGTCACGGTTGTCATCGGCAGTCTCGGCCCTCACTGGCGCTCCACTCGCGCCATACTACGAGCACACGGAAGAATCTCCGAAGCAGCACTCTGCGCCGAAATCCACGCAGAGCAACAGGATATGGACCTGCAAGAAGAACGACATAAGAAGAAAGCATCAGTACCAGAGTTCGCTTTCCACACCCAGCGACGCTACAACAACAGCAACAATCGACAACAACCAAAGCCAGTACCTACTTTTTGCCATATCTGCAAGACTTCAGGGCATCCTCGCACGCACTGCCCGTATCGCCATCAATCGACAGCACCACAGCGACAACTTCGACCTTCGAGCAGCCAAGTCACCTCGACGCAAGCAACCCCAACAACTTCAGTCCAAGCTTCAACGACTCCAACAGCACAACCAGCGCAAAAACCAAGAAATATCATCAACTACATGGTAAAGATAACCGACTCCTGCACAACCGAGTCACCACCGTACTACTTACCCAAAGAACAACTCGACAACAGCACGCCTCGCCGCGAGTCTCTTCAACCAAATCCGACGTACGCCGCCATTGCTCAAAGTGAACCATCCGGAAAAGATACTTGGTTCTTGGACAGTTGCTGCGGACAACACATGTGCTCTTCGGGACGCTTCGTCCAACGCCAACATCGACTTAACGAGAGGTCGTCATCACAGTTGCCAACAATCAGAACCTGCGCACACGACGACAAGGAGTGGTACAACTTCAGTCCAGAGAAACCAACGTTATACTGCATATGTCAAAGGTATTAATAGCAGAGGGACTCGGCTACAACTTACTTAGCGTCAGCCAGTTGATGGCGAAGGGCATCCACCTGGAAGTCGACAGCACCACCCAAGAATTTAAGTTATACCACGGGAAAGGCGGCCTTTACATCGGAAAGGCAGTCTTGAAGAACAACGTCTTCGTCCTCGACTTCGTTCCGGACCTGGGCACCGCAGACAGCGACGCCATCATGAACTTCACGGACTGGACGCACCCTCCAGGTTTTGATCCAGACTTCAGCCCGGAAGGTTTTTGGTACTCGCATACTATCCCTGAAGCAGAAAGAACACCCGCGTTAGCAACAATACAACATTCGGCAGCAGCAGAAACAACATCGACAGCAGCAGAGACAACATCGGCAGCAGCAGAAACATCATCGGCAGCAGCAGAGACAACATCGGCAGCAGCAGCAGGACCAATGACACCAGTTCTCGTCAACGAAGAACCACCAACATCCGCACTGCAGTTGAAACCAACTCCACGAGAAGCCCACAGAAGCGCAAACTTCGTCGCCAGCTTCTACTCCAACTCCGACACGTATCGACGCTCACCCGGACATCGTGCCTCCGAAGAAACCTGGCACGCACGATTGGGACATCCAAGCAACACTGTCTTAAACAACACGATAAGAGCAGGAGTTCTAGACAAAGACTCCTTACTACTACTCGACGGCAGAGAACTTCAAAAGGCACGAGGGACTTGCCTTACCTGCCCCGAAGCTGACTTACCACATCAACCGTTTACTCCTCATCACAACCCGAGCGCACCCGCATACGCACCACTCGAGAAGGTGTACAGCGACATCCTCTACAATCCCGAACCAGGGCAAGTCACCTACAACTACACGATTACCTTCATCGACGCCTCCACTCGATACGTCTGGCACTTCAATCTACCAAGCCGCGACATGGCACTCGCAGCGTTCGCCGCCTGGCTACCAGTAGCAGAACGAGAGTCGGGAGCACAGCTGAAAAGCTTCCAGTCAGACGGAGGAGGAGAATACACCTCTCAGCGATTCAAGCAGTACCTGGCAGAAAGAGGAATCAAGCAACTCCTCTCCCTTCCCTACGCCCATCAGCAGCAAGGTGTCGCAGAACGAATGAACAGGACTCTGCAGAATAGCATGCGCAAACTGTTACGTGGCATGCGGCTACCCAACCACCAGTGGCCTGCAGCAATGGACTATGCTGACATGCTGCACAACTTGATGTCGTCGTCCTCACTCCCGAACAACGCATCACCGCATCTGCTGTGGACAGGGAAGCAGGGCAGCACAAAAATGTTACGAGTTTTTGGGTGCATGGTACAGTACCGACCCCCTGAGGCACGAGCGGGAAGATTTTCACAACGCGCACAGTGGGGACAGTCAGAGGTCCACTGGTGATCCCCGATCGATCCTAGGGAAGGGTTACAGGCACATTTGCCTGGGGGGTTATGGGCGCACTGACCCGCTACTGAAACAAGCCCTTTTATCCCAATGGTCTAGTGGTTGGGATTCTGAGATGGTATCAGAGCGAAGGTCTCGGGTTCGAGTCCCGGTGTATGCACTTCGGGCATCCCAGTGCGGAGGGGTGTCAGAGGTCCACTGGTGATCCCCGATCGATCCTAGGGAAGGGTTACAGGCACATTTGCCTGGGGGGTTATGGGCGCACTGACCCGCTACTGAAACAAGCCCTTTTATCCCAATGGTCTAGTGGTTGGGATTCTGAGAGGGACTACGCCTCAGCATCGAAAAGAATTACAACGCGTCGAAAATCTTCGACGTCCACTCAAAGGAAACAGTAGCAGCACGTGACGTGATCTTCTACGAATGACTCACCCGTCAGACGTACCTCTCCAACTTGCACAAGAATCAGGACCCCACAGGTGGCTTTCGTGGTGACCGAGCCTTTGCCTCAGCAGCAGATGAAGCAGACTGGGACGAGCAGAACGTCGACAACGCATCCGAAGAAGCCGGACCTCTCTCGTTCCGC